ATCTCATTTTCACTTTCAACAACGTAACAATAGTGGCAATCATCGAGATCGCTATTGGCTTCACTATTAATTTAATCATTGTCTTTATAATTATCATTATCATAATCATCAATATTATTGATCTCATTGTTACTATCTACATCGTAGCAAACATGGTCATCAAGGCCATCATTATTATCATCACCATCCATTTTATCATTGTTACCAATATTTTCCATAACAATCATTATTATGAATAATTGTTATAATGATAATTTCCATCATCTTTTTTAAGACAATTATTATCGTTAGCATGAACATTTTCATAATTGTCATTATCATCATTACCATCATCACCGCAACCATCAGCACTATCAACATCATCATCAATATCGTTATCATTATTTTTATCAAAATAATTAATATTATCTCTATCGCCATCAACTTTATCATTATTATTATGACCATTATTATAATTGTTATCCTAATAATCATTCTTTGCTTTATATATGTTTCCAAGAATACTTGTACCTTTAAAATTGTTTACATTATTATAATTAGTATCACTATTAACATTAATCAACATCATTATCATCATCGTCATCAGCATAAATATTATAATCATTATTATTATAACTATTGTTATCACAAACATTAATAACGATTATCATTATCATAACAATCAATATCATCATCACCGCCAGTATTATAATTAATTAAAATCATCATAATCATGATGATAATAATTAATTGACATCAACGTTTTTATTAATATTATTATCGTTAACATCAACATTATCATATACATTATGTATCATCGGTAAAAATGTTACCAAAATGAGAATCACAATCCCATAATCACCTTCATTATCATCTTCACCATTATCATAATCATAAAAATCATTTATCTCATTTTCACTTTCAACAACGTAACAATTGTGGCAATCATCGAGATCGCTATTGGCTTCACTATTAATTTAATCATTGTCTTTATAATTATCATTATCATAATCATCAATATTATTGATCTCATTGTTACTATCTACATCGTAGCAAACATGGTCATCAAGGCCATCATAATTATCATCTCCATCCATTTTATCATTGTTACCAATATTTTTCATAACAATCATCATTATGAATGATTGTTATAATGATAGTTTCCATCTTTTTTTTTAATACCAATATTATCGTTAGCATGAAAGTTTTTATAATTGTCATTATTATCATTACCATCATCACCGCAACCATTAGCACTATCAACATCATCATCGATATCGTTATCATCATTTTTATCAAAAAAATTAATATCATCTTCATCTCCATCAACTTATCATGATCATTATGACCAATATTATTATTGGTATCCTCACAATCATTACTTGCTTTATTTATGTTCTCAAAAATACTTAAACTTTTAAAATTGTTAACATTATTACAATTAGTATCACTATTAACATAAATCATCTTTATTATAATCATCGCCATCATCATAAATATTATCTTCATTATTATTATAACCATTGTTATCACACACATTATTATCATCATCATCGCCATCAACTTTATACTTAGTATTATGACCTTCTTTATCGATATTATTGTTATCATCTTTATTATTACTATCATCTTTATTATGAGCACTACNTCATCATAAATATTATCTTCATTATTATTATAACCATTGTTATCACACACATTATTATCATCATCATCGCCATCAACTTTATACTTAGTATTATGACGTTCTTTATCTATAGTATTGTTTTCATCTTTATCATTACTATCATCTTTATTATGAGCACTACCACCAGAATTGTTTTCATCATCATAACGATCATAACAATATCGGCCATCATCATCATCATCACTATTATTGTAACTGTTGTTATTAATAAGTAACTTTTTTTTGTAAGTATCGACATCGTCATGATTATTTTTATTTTCTCCGTAACTTTCACTATTACTGTCATCAGCACATTCATTATTCACTTTATTAACGTTATTATTAATACCTTTCCTATTATAAGTGTTTACATTATTATTATAATTATTATCATTATGAAGATCAATTTGATTAACATCATCATCACAACCTTCAGTTTACTATACAGTCGCTCTACCACTTGAGCTACCGAGGAGCTGTGCATTAACTCTCACCGCAAGTATAGATAAGTTCTCGTTCTCAATTCTTAATCTGCCTTTTACGTAAGCTCGATACTGTAGGCATGTGTCTCTAATGCTTGTTGGTATATTGAAATCTAATACGTCCATTTGGTACACAAGCAAACGTCGATACATTTTAATCATTGTATCTA